CAGACGCAGGATCAGACGGGAGCGTCCTTGAAGCCGTCGCACCACTTGCCAATGTCCATGTCATTGGAGAACAGGGATGCAAAGACCGGTCAGACCCTTGGCAATGCCAATGTGATCTTGCCGAGCGGCAGCTCGGGTCACGCCAGCGAGATTCAGCAGCACCAGCAGCAAAACCACTACAACTCAAGCAATAATCCCCTAAGCATGATGGGTGGAATGATGCACCAACAGCAGCAGCAACACGTGAGCATGCAACAACAGCATCAGCAGCATCAGATGATGCAAGGACAGGGGTTTCCCCAGCATGGAACTTCCATGATGGTCAACCGTCAAATGCCCGCTCTGGCTGCTTTGTCGAATCTGGGCGACACTCCTCCTATTAACAGCCAGTTAAACTCCTCCCTGGAGCTGGACGACAACGACTTGTCGCCAGACGAGGATGACGACGACCTGGAGCATGATCTGGACGAGCTGGAAGCGGCCAAGCAGCAGCTGATCGATGGCGGCAGCAGTAGTAGCACCTCCCTGCAGGCGCCACCGTCGCAACACGGCAGTGGCAGTGGAGGCAGCGGGGGTCAGACACCCGGCAGCAAGAAAAACAAGCCCAGCTACAATTGCTTGCTCTGTCCCAAGTCGTATCGCAAGAGGAAGTCCCTGCTTGACCACTACAAGATGCATCCCGGTTTCTGTCACGATTGCGGACAGCCCAACGGAAATACGTTAGCGGTAAGTACAGGAGACTAGTAAAACAAAGTAATAAAACTAATACTACAACAATCTTTTTAATTTATAGGAAGTAATACTCCACAATAGGACGATGCATGTAAAGGAGTTTCCTTTCGTGTGCGAGACATGCGGAGAGTCGTACTCGCGGAAGCAGCAGTTCCACGCCCACGTGGAGTCGCACAACAAGAAGGAAATCAAAAGTGAGTCGACGTGAATGTAAATTTCACCAAGTTCTTCGGTGTTCGGAGCTCCTTGGAATCAGCATCATCCTAGAGTTCCAATCCCATGAAACGATAGTCTAACCATTTGATTTATTTTTCGTATCTTTTTTTAAGCATTTCCATGTGGCGAATGCGGGGTGAAATTTCCGCAGAAGAAGTTGCAGCAGCACTTCGAGGAGACGGGCCACAAGGCCGACGGGGCCATTTGCGAGGTGTGCGGCGAGGAGTTCCAGTCAAAGAACGCCCTTTACCAGCACATCATTCGCGTTCACAAGCGCGACAACTTTTTCGAGTGCCACATTTGCCATAACCGCTTCACGCTAAAGGCGAACCTGGAGCGCCACGTGCAGCTGCACACTGAGGTTAAACGGCCCTATGTGTGCGACCTGTGCGGCTCGTCCTACTACACATATCCCGCGCTCAAGGAGCACTATAGCAATGCCCACGTCGACGTGTCCGAGTGCAAGTGCACGCTGTGCGGTAAGCGCTTCGGATCGGCTAAGTCCCTCCAAAGGCACTTGCCTTCGCACTCGGAGGAGCGGCCGCACTGTTGCAACTATTGCGATCAGGTGAGTGTCCTCAAAATTATTTTAGTTAAAACCAAAACTAATATCCTCTTATATTTTAACAGACTTTTAAGTGGAAAACGCATCTAGTGCGCCACAAGCAGACGACGCACGGAAACGAGCCTCCGCCTCCGAAGAAGGGAAAGCAGCGCTTCCCCAAGGCAAATGAAGAAGGTAGGTGTACATTTTGGGTCAGTTGCGTCACACTGAAACTTATTTTTAACCTTTCTACTTTTCCAGCAGAAATGGCTTCCCTGCCGGATATGCCTGGACCACCGCCTGTGAAGGCTAGTAAAAAGGCAGTGACGAGTAAAGCGAAAGCGCAAGCGGCAGTCGCCGCAGGAGGGACCTCCCAGCTGCAGCATCAGCAGAAGGGCGTTGCGGCCACGCCGACGCCACCGCCGCCGGTATCCACCACTCCGGGGTGCATGCAACAAGATCAGTTTAATGCAGCCATGGTCAGCAGCAACAGCTCGCAGTCCTCCACGGCGTCCACATCGCAGCACTCGGTGTCGACGAGTGAATCTCAGCAGAATTCCATATACAATCAAAGCTTTAATGCGGAGAAACTGCAGCCGGGACAGCAGCAGCAACAGCAGCAGCAGAGTGCCTTGCACCAGCAGCATCCAACGCCGCCGCCACAATCACAACAACAGCAGCAGCAACATCCAACGCCTCCGCAGCCACGAGTGGCGTCTGCAGAATTGCATCTCCAGCGTATGAATAGCTTTGGTCAGGATGGACAATTTCACTTTGAGGCTAGTCCAGCAGCTGGTAGCTATCAGCAGCATCAGCTGATCAGCCAGTATCAGCAGCAACAACAACAGTCCCAGCCTCAACAACATCATCTCGCCCAGCAGCAGCAACACCTGAGGAGCCACACCCCACAGAGTCCCCATCCGCCACACCCCTCGCAGCTGCAACAACAGCAGGCACAGCCGCACTTTAGCTCCCCCCACCATATGCCACCTATGCACCACCAGCACCAGCTAATGATGCAGCAGCAGCACCGGCACAACCAGCGCTCGCCGCTGCACCACCACCCAGCGGCCCAGCAATTGCAGCAGCAGCATCAACAACCGTCGCATTCCCCACAGCATGCGAGACTGCAGTCGCCTCAACCTGCTCCAGTACAACAACAGCAACAGCAATTCCTGCAGCAACAGGCCTCTGACTCTTGGGGCAACATGAACTTTGGCAATACACCAAACAATCAGCAAGTGGAGCTCAAGGATAACAAATTCTATATCGTAGACTCCGCCGAGTTCCTAGGGCTTCCAATGAATGTGCCGCCAGCGCAGCAGCAACAGCAGCAGCAACAACAGCAACAGCAAGCTGTAAGCAAACCGCAACAACAACAGCCGCAGCAACCGCAGCAGCAACAACAAGATCCAGCACTCTCTGGAGACCTGATGAGCTTCCAGCATATGTGGCCGGCGCCTGGTTTTAGCCAAAATCCTCAGCAGCAGCAACAGCCACAGCAGCAGCAACAGGCAGCGCAACAACAACAACAGCAGCAGCAACAGCCGCAGGGTCCTGCGAATCCAAGTGATCCACACAACTACAACAATATCGGCAGCATACTCACGAATCTCATTGACACAAATCCGGCGCCAATGGAGTACAACTTTGACCTTATGCAGCAGCAGCAAGCGCCGACACCGCAACAGCAGCAACAACAACAAGCGGCGCAGCAGCAACATCACAGTGCCGGGGGCTATACGAGTGGTATGATGCGCAGTGGAAGCAATGTTTACGGCGGTGCTTATGAGCAGCATTTGAGTGACCAGCTCGTCAACGAGCAACAGAAGCAGCAGAACAGCTTTCAGCCTTACCATCCACACGGCCTGCAGGCGCAACAACAGTCGCCATTGCATCCGCATCTACTGCAACCGCCAGCACCGCACGGAAGCGTCTACGACCGGACGGGAGTTGGCGTCGGAGTGGGCTATTCCATGATGGGTGATGAGTCAAAGGCGGTACTGCCGCCAATGATGGGCGGCATGATGCAGCAATTGCCACCGCATGGCCAGCAACCGGACTTAATATACTACCCAGTGAAGAACGATTGACAGTCGAAGCAACATCAGCAGCAAGTTCAGCAGCCGAATCACCATCACCACCACCGCTGGTGGGCAGAGCCAGCCAAGAGAGGCGATGTTTTTCATTGAAGAAACAGAAAGAAAACAGGAAACGGAAAGCGGAACAAGTTCGTTTAGATTGTAAGTGTAGGGGAGTGTGGAGATGAGGAGGAGCTGTATGTAGATAGGGTTATCCACACACATTGTTTTTTTGAAATTAAGAGCAATAACATAATAATTAGAGCGATAGAAGAGCTCAGAATTTTTAATCCGACCGGCGCTATGATACGTGTATAAAATGTAATCATTTACATAGAATACATCAAATAAATAGAAGCATGTATACATAACTAAAATCAGACATATACATAGTAGCACCTAAGCAAGGCAAAGTAAACCCTAAATTAAACATACAAATAATGAAAGTATATATATAAATAAATATATATATAAATTATATGAAACATATAAATTAAAGTTAAGCAACTACTAACAATAATGCAGACCACAAGCAACTTTCGAACAAATTTTATGCTTATTTAACATTTTACCATACGAGTTATATGCACACAAATACGTACGTGTTGATGTATAATCAAAACAATCCAACATTATATTCATACATATGATATCTATGGAGACCACGACCGCGAGAGACCCTTAAACATTTTAGATGATTGATTGAGTTGAGCGTGGATCGGGTCAGGCATCACAAACAATAACATTAACAATACAAAAGTACACGACGCTTCGAGCCCGGGCCCAGCGCCACACAAAGTTGTAACCATATCATGAGGCCCCTTTCCCTATAATTAATTGTATTCTCGATAGTGCTTGTTATTTTCTATTTAGTTAACGAATTGATTATGCTTATGGAGCCTTTCTGCTGAGCCACACTTTTGTTAGATTAGTGCCTAAGTCTAGTTGATATCCCCTTGTATACCCTCGACATCTTGTGGCTTTTTACACCCAAACCTTGTACATCTTTAAAGCATTTCCGATTATATTTTTTTTGAGCTCCCTCAATTCTACTTGCGATTAATTACATTTTTATCGAATTTCCTTAAGATTCAAGACGGGCCCCAAACAAAACATTTAAGTTAATCACAGAGTTGTTCTTGTTTTACCAATTATTCAAATTCAGCAACATAAGAATTGTATATTTAAGTGAAAGTTTAAAACGTTAAATGTGTAAGGATACTTTTATGGACAACAAAAAATAAAAAATAAAAAAATGAAACCAACAACAAACTTCACTAAAATTAGGTTTGTATTCTGGATACAAAAAAAAAAAGAAAATAAGCAAAATGGCAATTAAAACAGAACGAACACAATATAAAACAAAATTTGTATATTTAATAAAAATAGCAAAATAAACTTCTTTTAAAAAATTTACAAATACCGTCTTTCTTATTGCTGCCATCCCATTTATTTGTACAAAACAATTAACAATTTAAATTAGTTTACACCGCCCATAAGATTGACCATCCTATTCTTGTACCGCTTTGATATATCCTTCTCAATATGGGACTGCAAAACTCGGGTCTGGGCCACCAGCTCCTCCAGGACAGGGTTGAGCTGTTGTCGCTGCTCTCGCAGCTCTATGGCTCGTCGCTTGAGTGTCTCTCTCGTGGATCGCAGCTTCTCCACCGCCTTGGTCATTTGCTGCAGTTTTGTAGCCAGCAGATTTGCATACTTTGGCGAATGCTTCAGTTGGAAGAGATGCCTCGTCTGCTCATCCGAAGTCTGTCGAATGATTTTCTCCACAGAGTTGAGGATTTTCTTGATGCTCTCCGCATCGTGCGTAGCGATATTGTCCATAAGTGAGAACATGATGTCGCTTGAAGACTCCAACTGCTTTAGCTCGTAGAGGCGCAGACGCAGAAATGATTCCAGTTCGTAGATTTCGTCTAAAAAGCGATCGCGATAGTTGGGTGAGTCCAGCAAGGTGTAGGCCTGATCACCTAGAACGAAAAAAGGAAATTATATTTTGCTGGGAGGATTCCATTGCAAGCAACTTACCCTTGGCCGTGCCTCCATCCATGCCAGTTCCCTCCACCACGATTCCATACTCCTCGACGGGAATATCAAAGTTTATTTCCACAGCTGTCGCGGGAGCACTTTCGATTCCCCAGTCGATATTGCCGCCGTCCGTCTCCTGCAAATCTACACCCCCAAAATCACCATAGTCGATTATCTCCGCCGAAACGGTCGAAGAAGTTCCACCACCATTGTCGTCGGTTCCAAAGTCGATCTCGGCAGCAACGTTATCCCCATCCTTTTGAACGATGCCTTCGCTAAGATTTAACCTAATTGGCGGCTCCTCCACGGCGAGCGGCGCCTCCTTGTGAATGTATTGATACACAGTGGTATTGCCAAACTCGACCAGGTGGCTCAAAATTGGCAACGGCTGCTTATGTCCGCTAACCTCAGCGTAAAGATCGATTCCCGGTTGAACTTTGGCAATGCCATCTATTGACTTGGTGTACAAATTTGGTAGGCCAGCCAGAACCTCAATAAACTCGGCATGCAGATTATCGCCCTTGACGCCGAGTTGCTCCAGGAGCGCTGCGTGCTCGGCCAGAAGCTGCGTCTCCGGCTTGTTAAGGTCGTGAGCTCGTTTCTGACTCTCGTCCGTCTGCTGCTCCAGCTTGGCCATTTGCTTGCGCACTCCAGGAATCTCGTAATTAATGTTCCGCACAAATATCTGCGCTGTTTCCGCCAGGTAGACGGCATTCTTCTCATACAGGCGGCTGATCTCCTGCCAATCCTTCATGCGCTGGCTGCCGTAGGTTCCGAACACACTCTTGGTGTCCTTTTCCGTTTGCTTTAGTATCTCAATGATCTCCTTGACATGGTAGTAGTTGATATCTGCAAGGTGCCCAAGCTAAATTAGTTGAACCGTGTTCGGGCCATATGCCATTTACTTGTGTTCGCCAATAGCTTAATTAGTTGTTCGTTGGAAGGCATGTCCTGCAGGGCATTGCTTATCTTCGTGTGAATGTCCCTAATCTCCTGTTGAACATTCTTGGGGACGATCCTCCGGCTGATTAGCCAATCCTGCAGCTTCAACGTATGGATGTCGATGGGGATCTCCGACTCCTATCAGGAGTACAAAATAGAACTTTGTGATTGACATTTATACAAAATTGTTTTCAAAACAAACTTACATTCATTTTTACTCTGTTGTCCACGCAAGCTGTTTTCTAGAGCTGGAAAAACGTCGATATATCGATAGCAATAAATTAAATAGCATCTACTTTTTTTAATCAGCAGCATTTTCCATATACATTACAGCATACTTTTAGGTAACATATTAATTATATATATATATTTTTGTTCGTGAATAAAGAATCGCGGCTTAATGCATTCGCATTTTCTTTAAAAAGATTTAATGTCTTGGTTTATACTAAGGTAGTGCTTGTTTTATTATGAACGTTTAACAAACTGATTGTGCTCACACTTCTTTTTAGAAAGAAAACTAGTTAATGTCCTTTGACATATTTGGCTTTTCCAGCCAAACCCTTATACATCTTTATAAATTTTAATAATTGTTACAAAATCGTATATATCTTTAAATTTGTATTAATTGTTCCTGTTTAGTATTAAATAAGGCCAGGTTTGACTATGATTATCTCTTGATATATGTTCAGTTTTGTGAACACTTCAGCATTTTACGTGTGTAATATATGTAAATTAAACAAAGTTAACAAAAGGTTGTGTTAAACTAAATTAGATGTGTATTATTTCCTTTCTTAGTGAAATACACGATATTTTAAATATATTTTAGCTTAATTCTAATGTTGTACAGAATGACAAAATGCAGGCATAGTGTAAACGGGGCTTCTAGCGCACATTACTATCGCGATATTTCAAACTATCCTTGTTATCGATCAATCGATGCGCTCGACCCGCTCGATCGGCTTGGCGTCCATATTGAACTGTGTATTTAAGGACTGATCAAAATAGTGCGTTCCTTTTCATTTTTCACGCATTTAGATGTCGTTATAGATTTGTCAAAATTTGTAGTATGTCATACGCGTTATTGTTTGTTTGAAGTCAGATAGAACTGTTCGGAGTTTGTTTGTTGTCCCGTGGCGTGTGTTACAACAGGCTGAGATCGCGTGTGGATGCAAATAAAGAAAACAGTTACGTTGGGTTCCTAGAATTTTCGCACAAAGGCAGGTGTGACACAGTGACGTCAACGTTTTCGCGTTCGCGTCCGGATCGACGCACGTTCAAGCTGCCTAAACGTAATGAATCTCCAGAGCTGGGAGAAGGTCCTTCTTCAGTGGGTAAGTACCGCAATGCGGATCGTGCAGTGCAGCAGATGCAAGTAACTAAATACATTTTCCCTTTGCAGATCCACACCTTTGGATTCACGAAATCAAAGTATATCACACTAGAGCAGACCGACATTGATTCGTTCTTCGCTTATTATGTGCAGAAGGCCCTGGTGGAGCCTGTGCCAGTGGTGGAGGTTGCGCTGCAGGCTCAGCCAACACAACCGCCCAATGATGCCTCACCAGGAAAGATGACGCCCTTGCAGGCGTTCCTTGGAGGTAAGAGTAATTAATCGCAATATAATATTTTTAATATTTCATTTCATATTAAACTTACCAAACGTTTCTTCATAATTTTTTCAGAGATGTATCCTGAATTTAATGGACACATAGATAGCCAAGGACGACTGGCTGGGTCAGACTACCTTTACGTATACTCACTGCTCCTGCACTACAAGTGTGTGAAGCAGCCCAGCGCCTCTTTTCACAGCATTTGCAAAAAGCTGCCAGTTCTGACGCAGTCGTGCATTTGTGAGTTCTTTCAGCAGACGATGAATAAACAGTTGACTCGCGAGAACCTCAGCCAGGCTATCGCCGAAGTGAGAAGCGTCTTCCTGGCGCCGGGCGCTGCAGAGATCAAACAATGTCGAGCAACCAGTTCCCAAAGTCTGGACAGCGATGGCAGTGGTCACTGCAGCAGTCTCGGCGAAGATACTCCGGACCTGCCCAGTGACTTTATAGGGCCTATATCTTCGCCGTCGCCAAAGGCAATGCCTCCACCTGCGACGCCCAAGACAGAGCTGCTGGAACAACGAACCAGAGAGGTAAGGGGTCTTCAAGCGCAATTAGAGGCGGAGCGTTACGAGAAAAACGTTCTGGAGGAGCAGATCTTGGAGAACGAACACCTAATTAAATCCCTGAGAAAAGGTAGCCACACAAGCATTATTGGAAATTGTGCAACTAAGTTAAATTTAAAATTTCTTCACAGAAAACAAAGTGAAAAAATTGCAGCTGGCTAAACTAAAGGACTCAAGCGAGAATGAAGATGAAGACTCGATTGGCAAATACGTGCCGAATGAATTTGATCATGTAGGTAGTCGGTGGCAGGTAGCGGAAATCATAAACTAATAAACTTTTACTCGAAATTCAGTTGAAATGCAGCCTGTTGAAGGAGATTAGCCAGAAGGAGGCCATTATAACGGAGACCCGTGATAAGCTGCAGGATTTGCGCATTGAAAACACCGAGCTCCGAAGCAAGGTAGGATATGATAAGTATAACTACCTGCTCATATAACCTGCCTCATTTGGCAGATCTTGTGTGGGCCACACATAAGTAAAGTCCGCAGCACACTTTCAAAAGAAAATTTACCATTGCCTAGTATTTGATTTTAGTCGAAATGTAAGATATATTTTTATAGTTTTCTTTTTCTTTTTTATATTAAATAGTTAAAATCTTCGTCGGAACAAATGGTGGTATGCATGGACCGCATCAGGGATCTTGAGGTTCGGCAAGAAGAGCTCTCACAAACACTGTCAACAAAAGCCGAGCAGGTTATCTGCCTGGAACGTGACAAGCAGGAGCTAGAGCAGTGCTTGCAAGTCACCCGCGATGAGCTACACAATCGGCGCGAGGTGCTCAACGCTTCCTCCGATCTACTCGACTTGCCCTTGTCGCCGAACACTACTCCCGAGAACCTAGCCGACTCGGTGATTGACAAGCAATTGCGGGAGAAGGAGCACGAGAACCTCCAGCTCAGAGAAGAGCTCCAGGAACTTAGCAAGTCCCTGTTGGTCATCTTAGAGGATCACGGCTTAGCGGTTTCATCTGTAGCAGACCACTCTACACAGTTGTCGTCCACTATTTGCGTTATCAAGGAGGAATTGATTAAGTCAGAACACCTGATTGAGCTGCGCGATAGCCAGCTCCTCGAGAAAAGCCAGCTGCTTGATCAAGCCCTGGCACAATGCGCAAAGCTAGTTGAAGAAGGCCGTGAGCAAGCCAAGGAACTGGAAAAAATTAACGCACAGTATGAACAGAAGCTAGCTAGTCATCTGTCTAGCCAGCAGGCGCTGCAGTCCCAAAACGACAAGCTCCTCCAATCGCTTAGCCATGCGAACGATGAGTCTGCCAAAGCGGATGAGCACCTGCGCCAGATTAAGGTGCAGCTGGCCGAAAAAGAGGAGGAGATGGTCCAATTGGGCACTAAAATCTCGGAGCTGCACGAAAAGAACAAAATTCTTGAGAGCCGGACTAACTCCCTGATCACCGAACGAAACAGCGGAGTTTTGCAGCTTCACCAGGAGCAGCGCCGCCAGGAATACGTTCGTAACAAGTACACTCAGTGCCGCGATCAGCTGGTGGCCCAAAGCTCAGATATGGGCCTGTTGTCCAGTCACCTGAATGCTTCCGACTGGAACGACACGGTTCGGAGAATTGACGAATTAATTGTTGCCAGGGAGGAGCTAAAGCAGCAGCACGAAGCCCTGAAGTTGGATCATGTGAAGTCCGAGCAGGAAGTTAGTGAGCTGAAGGAACGTTTGCAGCTTGGCGTGGAGCTGCAGCAGTGTATGCAACAGAGCCACAAGCAGCAGATGACAGACCTTCAGCAGCAACTTCAAGCGGCGAACGACCTAATGGAAGCAATGCAGCAGCGTAATATGCAATTCGTTGAGCAAATCCAGACAGATCTCAACAACCAGTTGCATAGCTCTCAACAGGAAGTGGAGAACTTCCTGTCTCGAGTCACAGCGGTTGTGAATGATGGCAAAGCCTCTGTTAAATCGGAGTATAATTGTCAACTGTCCAAATTCGAGCAGTTTGAATCCACGCTCGTTTCATCTATTCATCAGCGTTCTCTGGAGGTGAAAGCCTTACAGGCGACGGTTGATCAATTGCGTGAGGAGCTGGACACGGTTCAACGACAGAACGAATCACTGCTCGAGGCGGAGAACCAGCAGCGGACTTCAAGGATTGATCAACTTATGCGGCTCATGCACTCCCTGGAAGCCAGTGCCACGAAGTTACGTGTCACGCTGGTTCATAAGGACGCCGAGATCGCTTCTAAGAACCAGCATGTGGCCGAACTGCAAGAAAAACTGGCGAGTGACCAAGCCAGCAGCCTGCTGATAAAGCAACTCAATGACACCATCCAAAATCTAGAGCAAGTTAACGAAAAGCTAATCGATGACAACGCTAAGCTGCAAAACCTACACATGGACGTTAACTCTTCCTTGTTGACAGTCAACGCTGAAGTTGAGCGTCTAACGAACGAACTGTCCCAGTGCCGGGAAAGTTTAGTCGAGATGACTGCATCGGACAACCTTAAAGCCACTCAGTTGGCTGAGAGCGACCAGGAGAGGCAGAAGTTGCAAGGTCAGCTGAACGAAATGAGTGCAAAGTATTCCGAGTTAGAGCAGCATGTAGACCTCCTAAGATCTTTAAAGTCAGAGTGTGAGAAGCGCTGTCAAGAACTCGAGGAGAAGTTGGCAGCGAAGGAGTCTCAGTTCTCGCAGCTGAACATGCAACACGAAGAACAACTTGAGGGTTTTAAAGCAAAGCTAAAGGACGCCCAATTTAATATCGAACAGCAGCGCCAGGCGATACTGACCGATAGGGAGGAAATTTACAAGTACAGGGCACAGCTGGCTGACCTCGGTAAAGCTCGAGACCAGACTCAAGAAGAGATCGCGAGGCTACGTGGCCTATTATCCGATGAAGAAAAGGACAATCAGGAGCTTCTTAAAACAATCAAGGATTTAGAAGGCAAGGAGCTGCAACTGGCCCAGAAGGTGGATAAATTAATGGGCGAACACTCCGCAGAGCTGAGCCGGCTGCAAGCAATGCTAATGGACAAGCAGGCGATTACGGCCCAGCTAAAAACCCAGTTGGCCAGCGCCACAGAACTGGCTCAGACGAGGGCAAAGCAATTGACACAGGCCGAGCTCGCGCAGGTCGAACTCGCGGCTAGTTTACAGCGCGAGAAGGCGATGTCGGAACAGCTCCGTGCTGAAGCCGAGGAAAAGAGTTCCGCTGCTTACGAGCGCATCGGAAAGCTGGAGAAGTTGCGGGACATCCAGGAACACAAGGTGCGACAGCTGAACGACCAACTAGCAGAAGCCGAGCAGCTGAAGGTCAGCCTTAACTTGGAGATCGGAGGCCTGAATTCTGATATTGAGCAGCGCAAGCGTCAGATGGCAGAGCAGGCAAATCAATTAAGCGCTAAGCAGATTGAGATTGCCGAATTAGAATGTCAACTGAAGTCTGAGGCCGAAGAGCACAAGCTGGTTAAGGTGGAGCTAGAACAAATTACCGTAAAACTGGCCGAAGTTCAGCAGGAGCTGAATAGCACAAGGCTAGTTCACGACACTCAGCATTACGAGCTGGATGAGAAGACGCGGGAGATCGAGTTGGAGCGCGCCGAGTCCGCAGAACGAGTCCGTTTCTACCAGCGCCGCATCGATTCACTCGAGGGTCAGCTGGCCGAGGTACAGGCCGCAAACCAGACGCAGGCTCAGACCCCAACTGATCTGTGCACAACCTATAGCAAGGCGGATTGCCCCGCTGCCGCTTCAGATGACGAACTTGTTCAGTTGCGCCAGGAAATGGCCAGAAGCAAGCTAGACTGCCAAATCCTCCAGGCCAAGTATCGTGAGACCAAGGAAGAAATCCAGCGCTGCGAGCAGAAGATAAAGGACCAGCGCCTGGAGATGGAGGGCAAGCTCGACAAGATGAAAACGAAGATGGTATGTCATTGTAGAATATTTAAATGCGATTCTAATACCCAAAAGGGTTCTATCAAGGTGGAATGCCCGGCCTGGTCGAGATGTGTGCGAAACGCATTTAGTTTTCTCATTCATCGGCTGTACTGTGCTTCCACGTTGAGATTAGTTTCCGCTGCTGTGTTTCTTATGCACTTTACCGACCCCAGATGATCGAAAATGTTATCAAAGTCATTTATTTATTTATTTGTTATTTATTTTTGTTATCACTTTGTTTTAATATATGTATATGTGTGATGTGCACCTTAGTTTTGAAACCTTGCAAGGAATTTTGATTTGTAAATGTAGTTTTACCCTTAAAGTCGGATAATCAGAAAATCCGACAATTTCACAGATAAAGTTCCTGCTAAGAACATTCGGTTGTCCACTATGTCAATGTAAGAGGTAACAATTACAGCGACACAAAATTCTTAGCTTCACTAGACAAGCATCAGTTGAATGTTGTTTTGTTATCAAGAATATTTTATGAGATTTAATAATATTTTGACATCTGGGGAAATGCAGTCGCGTGTTGATTTCTTGTTTATGATTGTGCATATCCTTGCTTAATTGCCTTCCTACTTACTTGGCTTACGCTAGGGGACAATGTTGTTGTTGGTAATGTAATCATTGTGTATGTGCCATTTGAGCTGCCTTTGCTTATTTTCAAAATTTATTTTAATGTGTATTTATACTTTGATGCAAAGTACAATACAAAAGCTACTTTCCTAGAGGCAGCATTAATGCTTTGCCTTCTCTAGTCAGTTTGAAGATCGAATAATATTTCAAAGACAGTATAGATCAAATGTCGCTATTTTTTTTATAAACTCTTAGTTCAATTGCCATAACTTGGAATCGAATAATATTTCAAGGACAGTATAGATCAAATGTCGCTATTTTTCTTTATAAACTCTTAGTTCAATTGCCATAACTTGGAATCTAAAATCATTTCTTCCCTCTTTACATCTCTTTCTCCCATCGATTCCGACGAAAACTCAACAATCCCGAATAAATCCTCATCCTCTATCCTCAATCCCTACGGTTCCTATTGCTGCCTAAAGACCCAGACGAACATGACGGTTCACCCGCGTGCTTCTGGTGTCATAGGGAACAGCGGCGGCACAGGAGGGACAGCAAGGGCAATGATAGCAGCAACCGCAGACGCAGCGTCAGTGGCCGGGATCATGAACCAACCACGCGGGCATCATGCAGGCATTCAATGCCGACGTGGTCGCGACCGCCGGTGCATGAGCGCACGCGTAATCTTGTTCCTGGCCAGTACGCAGGCAGTATTGATGGGCATCGTGCATATGATTCTGTACCACAATGACGTTGACCTCCAGCTCCACTATCGCAACCCCAGTCAGTTTTAGACTGACCTGTAGCTGTTATGTTATATATTTTTGTAGTTTTGTTATTATCTGGTTTTGAGTTCTTTGTATGTATGTAAATTTACGTACCTAGTTTATATTTAATAAATTTGCAACAAGCACATGCCTTCGCTGAAACGTTGCGCCTGCGCTTCATTTGTTATTGCTGTCCTCACTTTTTTTTCCATCACTCTCGCATACCCCACTCACTCACTCCATATATGTATGTACCCACCCGGTGGTCATTGATACACACCAAATGTAGCGCTCTTTGTACACCGCGGAGGTGACTCGCATGAAGGAGAAGCAGGAGCGGGATGCGGCCAGCAACAAGGCGGAGCTCGAAGCCCTGACAGCACAGGTAATTCTAAAGCAAAGAAACTTTTAAGATTGAGTTATTAATTCTATTCCTCTTTAGAATGTCAAGTACGAAGAGCACACTCGCAAGCTGTCCAACCAGATTGTCCGTCTCAACGATAAAATTCTAGAGCAGCAGAAACAGCACGCCATAATAAGCACAAAGCTGCGCCACCTTCAGATGCAGCCTCAACCCAACGCAACCAAGGTCTCTGCGGCTAAGCCCCTGGTTACGGTCAATGCCGGCTCATCGGCTGTCAATGACGATTGGCAGCCCTTTAAGCGGCCCAATGCCCCATCCTCCAATTTGACAATGGAGGATGAAGAGGGCGAAGTATTTAACAATACCTACCTAACGGACCTAAAGCTGGGTCGGGTGCCGGATATAACGTAAGTGGATCAAGACACCACGAAACCAATAGACTTCAATATATTCCTAATCTAAACTATATTTTATTGCTTCTGCAGCGCCGAGGAGTTGAACTATCGAAACTCGTTGCAGCCGCCGCATCTGAAGAGTACCTATGCCGCCCAGTACGATCTAAGCAGTCAGGATGAAGATCTCAAAGTAAGCACTAGCGCTACTAGCAGCTCAGCATTTGGTAGTAGGAGCAGCTCGAGCGGCACACCCTTGAAGGCGCAGCCAGCAGCCAAGAGGGCACAATGGGCACGAATCTGGCACAATCGATCACGGAAATAGTGTTTTTTATTCAGCAGAGGTTTCAAAGCGTGACCCCCAGAGGGTCCTTGGGCCATTAATCTCCCCATGGTGGCGCACGGATCTAACCCATCTGAACCGAAGTAGCTGCTCGATTTTTCTACAAAATGAATTTTTTTTTGTTACCAGACACTTTGAAGACCTCTCAAGGCCTCCGAAAAAAATATGAATAGTTTTTATAATTAAATTTGTAAATAAGTAAGGACAACTGACGGCCATAAAATAATTAATACAGAATATTTTCATTACATGCTCATTTTCCGATTCTAATATAGTCCTTTATAATATCTCTTCCTGAGCAGTTGTCCCGTTTGAAATGTGAAGTCCAGTGTTTGCAGTGTCAGTTCTGTCCCGTTCCGTTACGTCCATTAGTTATTGTTTTTTGTCGTATATGTGCACTGTGCCAACTAATAATCAAGTTGTTGTCTATCGTTATATATGTCCTACTTTATTTTAAAGATAAACCGTAATTGCTTGTATATTCAATTGTAGGATGGACCCCACAGCCTTGATGATAGCATGTGCGCCTTGCTTAGTTCAACGGGCACCGGAACACGTAAAAAGTCTATTGGCACCCACTACAAGCGTCCCGGACCGCCAACGCCGAGCAAGAACGGAGGTCGGCTGTCCTTCGGCAGCTCGGAGCCGCCGCGCGAGGTTCTGCGGGAGTGCAACGACCACAATAGCAATTCCAAGACGCCGGCGCGCTTTAAATTCCTGACAACGCGGTTCAGCGTCGGGAGCAGCGGCCTTCCCCGGGACGAGGTAAGTTTACGTCCGGAAACAAGTAGTATTGTGAGATTCAATGTTTTGGTTGTCTGTAGTTTTTGTATGTATGTCCATGCGACCACTCGTCCACACCATCTCGTATCCTTAGTTAAATGTATTTTCTGGCCATTTTAAAACTTTTAAATGGAAAGGGATCGGAGTCTTTGTCGTGGGACCTGGGACCTGTTCATCGTTTCTTAGTGCTCTGACCAATATTTTGTGATAGTTTCATTTAACTATAGACTCTATTTAATGCTTAATCATTAATGCTTAATGAATCAACTTAAGTTTTTCAATCTTTAGGATATGTTCAAAAGAAATACCACAACAAGGTGCCGAGTAAAGTTATGTTTGGTGTCACAGTGTGATAGAATATTAGAATGTTCGGTATATGTTAGTGCCTGTCTTCAATCTGGTTGCTCCGTCCTTGTCAATGTGCGCTTTTATGTGGCTCAAATCAGCCGGAAGTTAACAACAACCGAATACCAAATACCCCTGGCATCTCCCACAGCTGCCTCAACGCAAGCGGTCGAGTATATTGACCAGGTTGCAGCGTCGCAGGTTACAGCGTCAGGCGGCAGACGCGTTTTGCACGTCTACGCCTCGCAAGAGCCGCTCCTACTATGATCGGCAACGTCTGATCGACAATGTGTTTTCGGACGAAGAGCAGACCGAAGCAGCGGACCAGCAGACAACTCCACACCTGTCCAATGGAGCGCTGCTAGCCTTGACCCAAGGGAATACCCGAAGAATCTCCGCCACCCACACGCCTAAACGTCAAGCTCGCCTTCCGCTCTACCTAAATGGCAACGGAACGGCAAAGATTGGCATTTCTGGCGAGCGGATGCGACAGCGGCGGAAAATGTGCCGGGAGCGGATGGCACGCTTCGATCAAGACCGACCTCTTGACCAGATTCGTCTGTCCGATCGCCTTTCCTGTTCGGGAAGGCCCTCCCAACTTTTGATGGGAAATACGGTGGTGCTGGACGATGGCAGAGGAAGGAGATCAATGATAGGCGTCACTTTTAAGGTGGAAGACTCCTTGCGGCTGGCGGTACAGCAGTTCGAGGCTGACAACATGTCGAACTGGGCACCGAACAATGAGAACAGTGATGTGCAAGACTGTCGTTTCGAACAGCTGTGCAAGCAGAAGACGTCCACGGCGCCTTTTCATGTTCAGCCAGCAGGGGTGGAGGATTTACAGTCAGTTCGGTGTAGGACCCTCATCAGGACCCTTACGTCCGACGAGTGGCAGCGAGTGGTCCTCGTAGTGTCGGGACTCTCGGTCGTTGCAGCGCTGTTTTCGCTGCTGGTGCGGACATGGGTATAGGAAAACCAAAGCAGTGTAAATCTCTCAATAATTATCCTGAACGCAATTGTTCCTTATATTTTTGTCGACTGTTTAATTGCAGAACTCGCCACCCAAGAGACGTCTCAGCAACATGTTCAAGCGCAAGGAGCGCTAATAATGTACATATGTAACTGTAAAGCATCAGAAAATAATTAAAAATAAATAATATGTATAAATATTGACAAAAGGTTAAACATATTTTATAAATGGAAGGACTGTTGGATGAATGGGATCAACTTTAGCTGTAGTTCGTTGCAAAAAAGACGTTATTTTTATATAATTAAAAAATACATTAAAATTAAAAAAAATAACTTCTGCTGGATTTACATTTACGTGTTTTCTACTCTTGTTTTTAACAAAAAGCTACAAAGCTACTCCATTTGGAATAACAGAAATTTGGTTTTTAAATTAAATCAGTAAGTAGATCAAGGAGACTAAATAAAAATATGTTATAGAATGCCAATTTCAAATACTATTTTAATATTTACAAGATACAAAGAATTAATTTAAATTAAATAAATTTCAAAAGTTGATACGATTAAAAAGGTTTTACAAAGAATACATAAATGGTGTTATCGAGATTTTCTCAGCGTTATCGATTGCATTATCGAGATTTCCCACGTTAGCGATAGTATCATGGAATTATCCTTGCCTTTTTTGTTATTTCAAGTTTGGTATCACTGGAGAAAAAAAAGCGGGAAGCCTTCAAAAACAAACAAATTTTAATATTTTTCATTCTCATTGTTCGAATTTACGTATGCGACCACCGCCGAAAAAAGGCGCTGCTAAGCGTTCAATAAATGTACCGAAACCACCGTCGGGTTTCGTGGACGATGACAGCACAGCGTTTCAATCACCAGATGACGATGTTACCGACTATGGCCTGGAATTCACTACCAGCCAGATAACACTGCAGGACGCCAACAATCGTCGCTGCTCGACGATGCGGAAGGACACATCAACTGCCCGAAGAAACCAAGCAGCTAACCGAACCGCTACGACCGAAGATGACATCGAAAATAGCTCGCCGGCACGCAGATCGCCAAGGACTCCTCAGAAGACTAGACAAATGCAAAAGAAAAGTATTGCCCAGCCGCAGGCAACAGCGAAAGTCAATGCCAGTGGGTCGCAGAAACGCAAGACGCGCAGACCAATAAACCACAGGTTAAAAATGGAGCGGGAAATCCGACGGCTTCAGTCCCAAGCAGGTCTGCTAATTCCTCGGCTCCCGTTCTCGAGATTGGTACGAGAAATTATGACTCAGTTGGCTGGCTACGAGGCAGGGATGAGGGTCACTGAGGGAGCCTTGCAGGTGATGCAGGAGTCATCGGAGCTCTACTTGACGCATCGACTGCAGGACTCGTACCTTCTAACGATGCACCGCGGCCGCGTCACGCTGGAGGTGCGCGACATGGCTCTAATGGCAATGCTGTGCAGTCATGATCGTCTTCGCTAGAGCTAGGTATGTTTAAGTTAGTTGTCGTTTTAAATGTATTTATAAAAATGTTCAAGAACTAAGCATGTTAATATTCGTCTGTTCAATTTTAAATTATATCAATTTTTTGTCCACTCAAAATACTTGTGAATAGCTTTATACACGTTTACTAATTAAAGAAAGGCCGATTTTCAAATAAGTCCTATTGTATATTTTCTGTTTTTAAACAAGGGTAAATCAAAAACTAAGCAATGGTTCCGTGCAACGATATCCTTAAGCGTTCCTAGGCCTAAGCTGAATAGTCATTGGCAATAGCTGTGGCATCGGTATCGTCCCTGAACATTTGAGCCACTTGGGCACTGGGCAGGATCTTTTGGGAGCTACCAGTCTTCGTCTTGCGCCATATATCCCACTCAACCGGGTGCATTTTTTTCTTGTGCGAGTGCATGTTCGCGTTGGAGTTGAATGTTCGCGGACAGAAGGGACACTTGTACAGGGGTTCGCCAGTGTGCTGTGCCATGTGCTCCTGAAAGGAAAGTTTTTTGTTCATTTTCTTCATATTAAATATTAAATCCTACCTTAAGGCTGATATCCTTTTTGAATGTCTTGCCGCACTGTTCGCAGGTATAGATCACATTCGAATGAGAGTAGCGCTTATGGCCAATCAGCGCCCGGGAGTTCTTACAGCTCTTGCCACACTCGGCGCAAATGAACAGTTTGCCCTCGTCGTTGTGGCGCCTCAAATGCTGCTTGAGGTTGTCCTCGTCCTTAAGCCAGCTCTCGCAGTCCGGTCGCGGGCACTTGATGCGCGGCCCGCTCTCCTCGAAGTGCAAACGAACATGCTTTTCGAAAACTGCCTTATCTTTGATCGTCTTGCCGCAGACATGGCAGATGTTAGCCGCCTTGCGGTGCTGCATACTGATGTGGACCTGCATGTGATACTCCGTGGCGAAACTGGGGGAGAGAAGGATTTCCAAGCATCTAGAATACTGCTTACAAGGTATGGAAGGAAATACGTACGCATTGTGTTTAGGACACTGGGGGCAGATGAACTTCCGCTCGTTCACCGGCACATGGGAGCCCTTGTGCAGCTCGAGCAGATTGCGTCGCGAGAAGCGCTTGCCACAGTCCTCGCACTGGAAGTCGCACTCCTCGTCGGGCACGTGGTGGACCAGCCAGTGGGCGCGCAGAACACTCGAATTGGCAAACACCTTGCCACAGTCCTTGCATCTGCAGTTAAGAAAACACAAGTTAATTATCAGAAAGTTAGATAGATGAGTAAAATTAAGACCCACTTGATGTACTCTGGGTTTTCATGCCTCCTCGCATGCTCCTGGATAAGACAGCGCTTGTTAAGCTTGCGCCCGCAGCATTTGATGTACGGTCGTTCGTCAGGATGTTTTTCCTTGAAGTGTTCGCGGATGCCATCGAAGTCCTCGGCCAGAAAAATGCACAGCTCGCACCCCATGACTATGTACCGCTTGATTAGTTCTTCGTCCTCCTTACAGAACGGCGGCAGACGTTCCATCTTAAATATTCTCTTGGCTGGCCCGCGCTTGGCTACAGTTTTATCCTTGACCTTCCTGCCTGCCACTCCTGTCCGTTTCGTCTTGGCTGGTTTGGCCACTTCCCGCTTGCGTTTGCGACCACTTCTGGTTACAATCAGGTCCTCGCCATCATCCCCATCGTCGTCGTCATCCTCATAGTCCTCGTCCCGATCATCATTGTTTGTATCGTCGGCCCCGAAATCCAATTCGGGAGTCTCTCGCTCGGTCTTAATGTCCACCTTGCTGTCTTCCGGGGACAGGCTCTGCCCGAGATCTAGCTCATCCAGTGGATTCACGTTCAACTGGGCACTAACATCGTTGTCCACGGCCAGGACATCGGCCGGCATCAGCACCTCCTCCGGCCAGGTGTTCACCATCTCCGGATCCTGCTTGAACTTGGAGGTGGTGGCATAAATGACCTGCGCCTCCTGTATGGACACGTAGAACTGGTGGAACTCGGACACCTGCGTCCAGCAGACGTTGCAGATGACCTTCGATATCTCGTCATTGGGCAGCACCTGGGGGTGGGGAGATCAGAGCAGGATCATACCAGATATCAGAGTGAAGTCCCGTGAAAAGGCACAAGGGGCAAATGGGTGAGGTGAGGGCAGGCAGCCTTACCTCGAACCAGAAATGCTGTCGCAGCACCTCTGCGACCTTGTTATCCGCCGCGCCCGCATCGAAGATCTGCAGACACATCTGGGCTCCGCTTACTCCGCGCAAACACAGGCGGCAGATGTCCATTTTGCATTTATTTAGGGAAATAAAACTATAATAAAAAGTAGTAATTTACATAGCGCTGCGTTGGCGATGGGACTTCTACAGTTATCGTTGTGCCGTGCGTGAGTGGTGGCCAACGGTCATACTCCTCCTGCTTTCTCCACTTCGGCCACACTAGCTAAAATTTTCGCTGTATCTTCGGAAAATGCAGAAATACTTCCTCGGAAAATGAGCAAGCCAATAAATAAATCGAAGGAACCGGCGGCGGCTGCCTCTGCTAGCATGAAGGTGAGCTCCCCGAAGATTTGACATCCAACAGCCAACCTGGAAGTCTTTTATTTTCAGCGAATAAGCGAGAAAAAGCTGGAGGCCTTTACGGTGGGCACGTTCTCGAAGCGGCAGTTGTCCAAGAAGGAAATCGAGGAGCAAAAGAAGAAGGAGGATGCGGCTGCTGCGGCACACGTAAGTTACTGGTTGCCGCGACCTGCTGTTCTGCTAAGACTACTTTCGGTTCTTCCCAGGCCTTTGTTGAGTTTGTGGAGACGTTCCAAGATGCGCCTACACCCTCCTCCAAGGTGTGGGTCAAAGCCGGCACATACGATGCGGGATCGCGGCGCGAGGACAAGACGGAGAAGGGAAAGCTTTACAAGCCCGGCTCCAAGCTGCTGGAGAAGAGCTCCGCTGAGAAGGCTGAGGAGTATGCCAAAGTTTTGGCCTCTGATCTCAAGAAGGATGCAGGACCGCTGAAAAAGAAAAATCAGGAAAAAAAGAAGAGCAACTTGGAACTGTTCAAAGAAGAGCTGAGACAGTAAGCCAAACGATTACTGCTGTCCAAGTGGATATCCCTAACATAAGTTTCTTTTCAGGATCCAAGAGGAACGTGAGGAGCGACACAAATACAAGCACCTGGCCGTGTCTCATGCTCCACCTCCTCAGCAGCCAGCGGCTGCAGCTCCAAGCAGTAGTGCCTCCGCTTCCACCTCCCAGGCGTCGAACAGCTCACGGGACTCTGGATCCTTCGATACCGGAGATCCAAACACCACGAACCTGTATCTGGGCAACCTGAATCCCAAGATATCCGAACAGCAGCTCATGGAAATCTTTGGGCGTTATGGCCCTTTGGCCAGCATCAAGATTATGTGGCCGCGTTCCGAGGAGGAGAAGCAGAGGGGTCGCAACTGTGGCTTTGTGGCCTACATGAGTCGTAAGGACGCCGAGCGGGCGCTAAGAACTCTCAACGGTCGCTACATAATGGGCTACGAAATGCGTCTGGGATGGGGTAAGGTCAAAATTAATTTATTAAACTCTGGAATGTCTTCTGAGAAGTTCCTTCCATCATTTAATTAACATTATAATTGTTTTATCTTCACTTCTTTCGTAGGTAAGACTGTGCCCATAATGAACACTCCCATATTTGCCCCACAAGCGCTGCTGGAAATGACACTACCGCCGCCGCCATCTGGATTACCTTTTAACGCCCAGCCACCGCCAAGCGAAGCTGACGTTTTACCCAAGAAAAACTACAAGGAGTTTGATAAAGAGGAGGACAAGGAAAATATGGAGAGGGTAGGCATATAACCTATAATTAAGCTTTGGAAAATGTCGTTTTATACATTTTGCACTTTTATTAGATACTCGCCAAAAGCGTCGTCAAAGTCCACATTCCCACAGAGAAGTACGGGCAGCTAGAAAATACTCCTGCGTTTTGATAGGAACTAAATAATTTGTTGCACCTTCACAGGGCTGTCCTCAACGTTATTCATCGCATGATTGAGTTTGTCATCCGCGAGGGACCCATGTTTGAGGCTTTGATCATGATTCGCGAAATGGAGAATCCATTGTTCTCATTTCTATTTGATAATGAGAGTCCCGCTCACATATACTATCGGTGGAAGCTATTCTCCCTTCTGCAGGGAGACACACCCAATGAGTGGAAAGAGAATGAGTTCCGTATGTTCAAGAATGGGCCGGTTTGGAAGCCTCCGATTGCCAACTTCTATACCCAGGGAATGCCCGATGAGCTCGTGGTGGATCCTGATGCTCCTGTGGTGCACAAAGGCGCTTTGTCCAATGCGTAAGTTTCCGCAACTAGAAATAAAGTACTCAATACCTAATTAAACTTATTCTTCAACAGTCAACGTGATCGCCTTGAGGATTTGATTAGACACCTGACTCCTGAACGCGCCCGCATCGGTGATGCTATGATCTTCTGCATTGAGCATGCAGATGCTGCTGACGAAATATGTGAATGTATCGCCGAGTCTCTTGGTAGCCTCAAGACGCCGGCGTCAAAGAAGATTGCTCGATTGTATCTGATTTCAGATATTCTGCACAACTGCACGGTCAAGGTGGCTAATGCATCCTTCTATCGCAAATCGTAAGTTCTCGATGCTTTTCCATTTGTGGTTATTTTTTCTTATGAAAACTTTATTTTTAGCGTTGAGAAACAGCTGATGGATATATTCGAAAATCTTCACAGCTATTACTCGAACATTGAAAGTCGCCTGAAAGCGGAGGGCTTTAAGTCCAGAGTCTGCAATGTCATTCGCACCTGGGAGGAATGGACAATCTATCCCAAGGAGTTTTTGGCTCAGTTAAGAGCCAAATTTCTGGGCAAACCGGTTCGTAACGAGTTTTTCCATTGTAGGGTTGTCCATTATTATCATTCCGTTTTGTTTTTAGTATGTTATGCCGACCAGTTCATCACCCCAGGCAGAAGAAACTCAATCTGAGGAGGCTTTGGAGGAAGATATCGATGGTGCCCCACTCTCCGGTGAGGAGAAGGATGACGAGGACTTGGACGGTGTCCCGCTGGACGGTGCTGCCTTGCTCAAGAGTGCATTGAAGCGGGCCTTGCCAGACGCTGCCACGCCTTCTCGCGGAACCCCTAAGAAGGACGAATATTTGGATGAAATAGACGGTGTACCACGTAAGTGCATGGTTTAGGTATTCAAAAATCATCGTGAGCTATAAAAAATGCATTACAATTTTAGTTGAAGAGGACTTTGATGGCGTGCCCCTCGAAAAGGAATCCAAACCGCATGTTAAATTGCCAGGATTTATACCCTCAAAGTGGGAGACTGTTGACCCGCAGCAAGTGGAGGCCCAGGCTATTACCACCAGCAAGTGGGACACACTAGATCCGCCGGATCCACCCAAGTTTTACAGCTCTGACGATGACAGCGAGGATGACAACTCCCAAAAGTATACCGATGAGAAACGCCAGAAGCTGCGGGAGATTGAACTGAAGGCCATTCAGTATCAGGACGAACTGGAGTCGGGCAAGCGGAGAGTGGAGCCCGGATGGACGGTGGCTGAGCAAGTAGAGTACTTCCGCAAGCGATTGCTTAAGCAGGTATGTATTCTTTAACTTATAAAAAGTCTAAATTGTCAAATGTATTCAAACCCAAATTCAGGACTCGAAATCTGAATCTGTCGTGGAGTCTCCCTTGAGCTATCTGCACGCGAAATCAAAGAGCTCCAAGCACAGTGATAGCCCCGCCCAGTCAAGCAGCAGTTCGTTGAAAAGGTCCCACTCGCCCTACTCCACTGCAGAGACCAAGCGTCGAGATTATTCGCCGGATAACTCCCGTTCCTCGAAATCGTCCAAGCGCAATCGGTCACGTAGCTCCTCCGGATCTCCAAAGCGGTACTCGGAGCGATCAGCGCGCAGCTCCCGTAGCTCACGGAGGTCCACGTCTCCGTTCGCCTCACGGTCTGCTCGAAGAGACGATTCGCCTCCTTCGAAGCATAGCAGTGATAAGCACAAACGCAAGCATAGGCACTAGTTTTGTTTAGACTATGGAGTTTTAATTAAACGTGGAGTCCAGATAAAAACTCATCAGTCGTTGGTTTCAAATACACAGTATATATATTTTTTTTTATTAAAACTAAGTGGTTCGTTAGGATGTGGGACACATGAACAACACGGCACAGGAAGTTCGATTCCGCTCTGCGAATTTGCCTAAAAACACGTATCTATGCAAGCTATTTAAATGATTATGAACCTTAAGGAAAGCCGGCCGACCAACCAATGGAACCCCACCCAACCCCGGCCTATCCTCAAACTACCTGAACCGAGCCGAACTGAACCGAAAGGCTATACAAGCAGTTGTGATTATCATAGGGTAAAGAATACGTGGATTTTGCTTAAAAGTAGATGCGGACAGCCTCCTCAGCATTCTGCTCCACAGGACAGTAGGGACACTTCAGTATGTGCCCATTGCTGAGCTTGTGGAGGGCGTCGTTGGAGATGACATGGCCGCACGTTAACTTCTTTGGCGGATTTTCCTCGGAGGTCTGCTGGCGCAGGATGGGGCAGGCAAAGATTGAGTGGAAGCGAAATTCCGGCTGCAAATCGATCTCAATGGGCAGCTCGTCGCAGCCGTTCCACATGCTCAGCACCTGGCGCGACTGCATCACCTGCTTGATGTTAAGCAGGGCGGGCAGGGCAGTGCATCCGGCGTTCACCACGACGGACAGGGCCGAGTTCTTGCTGATGCCCAGCAGCTGGCAAGCGTCCTTAAGGAATATAAACGATAGCTCGGTCCACATCTCTTGGCCAAGGAAGTGCTTGTAAGGCGAGTTCTCCAGCCCACTCGGCAGATATATAAAGCTGGCCATCAGATTGGCTATCTCGTGTTCGTAACGCACCGCAAACTTCTTAAAATTAAGCCGGGCATAGCAGATAGCCTCGCGCTGGGAGTCCAGGCCGTAGGACACTAGTTGCATGAAACGCATGCGGTGCAGCCGGAACTCTATAAGCGAGTGCCGGTCGCTCAGTTGCTGTGAGTAGATCTTGGCCCATTTGAGTGCGTCGGTAAGATCACGCTTCTGTATCTTCACCCACATGCTATAAATGGCGGCAAACTCACGCTCCGAGTCGAACACATCCTGTGCATGATTCTCCGGCATTTTGCACTCACGGATAAGGGTGCGGGCCACCTCGTCCATGCCCTGGCGGCAGTAATGCTTGGCGATAGCCTTGTTAAGCAGCATTAGGTTTTCCTCGTTCTGTAGAACGTCCACGCGCATGGTGGAGGTGAAGTCGGAGCTGAAGTTGCGGTCAATAGCCTTGCCGATCTTAGAGATGGAGCCGTGTAGATCGCGGTGGTCCGTAGACAGCTTTTGTACCCGATCATTGCACTTGACGATGGCATCTCTAATGATTTCCATTTGACGTTCGGTAAGGCGCTGCGGGGCAGTGGGCTCCGTCTCCACCTGCATACTAACCCCGTCGCCCATAGGATCGTCCACGCTGGCTGGAGTCGCATTCACCTGTGTGCTCGAGTTTAGAGTGGTCACCGCCTGCTCCGCCTTGCCCAGCACCTTGACCAGCTCCGACATCAATGTGGCTATGTCCCCGATGTCCGCCGAGGCATTCTCGTGCAGCTGCTCCAGCTTGGTCACCACTCGGGTCAAGTCCTTCTCCACCGAAGCACACTCGTTGTCCATTGTTGTCTCCAGTTTCGTGGAAGAAAACAAAAACCAGACACGCCAGATGCGTGTTTATCCTCGATATCCCAGTGATTCGACCGAAGGTATGTTTTCCGTTTTACACTCCAAAGTCTCTGCGATATTCGGTATGAGAACGGAAAATGCGTATTTATAAATTGTTAATTTTATAACACAAAGGAAAGCACAGTATGACCCAAAATTGTTTTTCAAGAATTCCGATTTCTAGTACCTATCGATACTTTTGTATGGCAAAGTATCGCATAAAAATTTGAGATTTTATCTGGGTATTTGTATTACGTAGTGCGACTCAAAAACGGAATTTTTAAAATTGCTCAAAAAGCTTGTTTTCAAAATTTGCTATATTGCTTCAGATTCAGTTTATGGTTGATGGTTTTATGAAGTTATGATTATGTTTGAATTTGAGACTTTTATATGGCATTTTTAATATGCTTATCGCGAGCTTTTATCATAAGTACTTAACTTGTTTTAATTTTATTATTTTAGTTTAACCCTACCAAGTTTAAATTTCTTCAAACCGTCAGTTTTTGAGCGCATCGCATAACAGTGATCTAACCTCGGGGTCGGCTCCATACAAAAGAGGACATCCAAAATTTTAAGGCTTATAACTTCGATTTACGAACGCGTGCACATATGCACGGTATATAGGCTTACTAGGGGAAGATTAACGAATATTTACTGAAAATTTCTATTGTTCTTACCCGTCAGATTTCGAGCAAATCCAATATGTATTTGGGCTGATAGCTAAGGCGCGAACTATGAAAATGGAACCAGATGGGAACCAGCAGAGAACCACTCGCTGAACCAGACCATGGAACCATGTTATTAAAAATACTAAATTAAAGAAAAATGACAAATTGTTGAATGTAATTGACATTCCAAGCATTTTGGTAGTTGTTTTATCAAAATCCGTTCAGTCGTTCATGAGAAAACTCTACTTTTGCATTTATTTTCATAAATGTTCATACGAAGAATAATTATATCTGGCAGCACTGCCTGCCTAAAATTAAGTCAATTTTATTTAAACTTCATTATAAAACTTATTCACACTGAGGATCGCAATTCTGAACATTTTGATCCACGTTTCGTCAAAATCCGTTCAGTCGTTCAGAAGAAATCCCGACTTTTTCATTTATTTCCATTTATGTACCGGTGATCTGGCATCCCTGCCTGCCTAAAAACAAGAAAACTTGAATTGAACTTTATGGTTAAACCTATGCAAAAGGAAGACTGTCCTATAGACGGCATCGCAGTTCTGAACATTTTGATATATGTTTCATCAAAATCCGTTCAGTCGTTAATGAGAAATTCCGACTTTTTCATTTATTGTCGTAAATGTATGTATGTGTGTATGTTCGACGAAGAATATTAAATAAATGAATGTGATTTAAACTTAATGGTAGGACGTATGTAGTCAGTTGATGCTGATCAAGAATATACATATATACATACTTTATAGGGTCGAATATAATTTATTCACTGCGTTGCAAATTTTTGACCTGAAATCATATTACAAAGCAAGGGCATAGAACCACTAGATTTGAGAAGCAAATTTTCGAAATAACACTTAATAGTCTGATGAATAAATGATATCGTTATTCTAAGCAATTTGGTATGTGTTTCATCAAAATCCGTTCAGTAGTTTTGGAGAAATTAACATTTGAATTACTAATTTATTTACTAAGGAGGCATGACTATGCACCCCTGGTACCCAACTGCAATAAATAAAAAGGCGGAATATCTCATTAACGACTGAACGGATTTTGATGAATTATAGATCAAAATGTTCAGAACTGCTATGCCGTCTATAGGACAGTCTTCGTTTTGCATAAGTTTAACCATAAAGTTTAAATCAAGTTTTCTTGTTTTTAGGCAGGCAGGGCTGCGGGATAAACTTTTATTTCACCGGTACATAAATGGAAATAAATTAAAAAGTCGAGATTTCTTTTGAACGACTGAACGGATTTTGACGAAACGTGGATCAAAATGCTCAGAATTGCGATCCCGTTAATAGTACTGTCTTTATTTTGCATAAGTTTTTTAATTAAAGTTAAAATCAAATTGACTAAATTTTAGGCAGACAGTGTTGCCAGATATATTTATTCTTCGTATGAACATTTATGAAAATAAATGCAAAAGTAGAGTTTTCTCTTAAACGGCTGAACGGATTTTGATAAAACAATTACCAAAATGCTTGGAATGTCAATTCCATTTATGGGGATACATATTTTAAACAATTGTTTAAATGGTCAATAGGAATATTTTCTGGCGGGCTATTCATCGAGGGTGTGGGAGGCGCCCACGGCCATAATATTCCGCCGTGGTATATAGTAAAATATCTTTCCCTGATTTAGATATAAATCGCACCAAATTGTTTTGAATGGCTTTTACATTTGTTGGGCAGTAGTCACATTTCTTAATGTTTTATTAATTTTCATTAATTTGTCATTTTTATTTAATTTAGTATTTTTCTTAAAATGGTTCCATGGTCTGGTTTAGTGAGTGGTTCTCTGCTGGTTCCCATCTGGCTTCATTTTCATAGTTCGCGCCTTAGCTATCAGCCCAAATACACCACCTACTGTTATTCGATTTTCTCGAAATCTGAAGGTTAAAAATAAATTGAAATTTTCAGTAAATATTCGTTAATCTTCCCCTAGTAAGCCTATATACCGTGCATATGTACACACGTTCGTAAATCGAAGTTTATAAGCCTTACAATTTTTGATGGCCTATTTTGTATGGAGTCGATCACTGTTATGCGATGCGCTCAAAAACTGACAGTTTGAAGTAATTGAAACTTGGTAGGGTAAAACTACAATAAATGTCCGTCATTTTGGCATATAGGGTATTGCTGCACGCGTTTGATTAGACTAGATGTTAAGAAATCCGTGAAAACACGATTTTTCACATGCTCTTTTTATATATATCCAAATGTCAAATACTTTCAAGCCCAGTAAAAAAACAATAGTAAATTAAATGTTTAGCATTTAGAAACTTTATTTTATTCGAATTAATGCCTTAATTACGAAATAAATTAAAAATTAAAGATCCCCTCCATGTTCCATTTTCCCACCGTTCCATTTCGACGCTAACTCATCTACGCTAATTTTACGGACATTTAATTTTTTTAGCCAACAGTATTTGTATCTTTCATACGAGGCCGTTTAATATTAGGTATGCTAAAATAATGGCCAGCGCTGTTCCATGTAACAGACTGGTCACACTGACTCTCGGTATTTCACAGCTGTTACGCGAAAAATTTGAAATGGTCCGTTTGGCAGTCGGAAAAATCAATTTTTGCTTCCACTGCTGCCTGGCAGAGAAACTTATAACGACAAACAAACAGTTTGAAATTAGCCTTAATTAGATAAGGAACGAATCTTAAATTAGACTTAGCGCGTACACCAATGAAATTGGTAAATATTAAATAAGATTTGTGATTTTTGAAAGACAAGAGGAATGCCAAGGACCCAATGTCAACGCTTCCAATTCATAATTTTAAAAATAAGTGATGAGTACACCTTTTAAGCCAAACGACATTGAACCCCCTTACAATGCCGTGCCTCCAAAAATAAAAACACTAATTGGTCATGCCAAGAGCATGGAAGCTCTTGCCCCAAACACTCAACACCGAGAAAAGCAAAAAAGAAAGAAAAATCCGGGTGGCTGGGATGAAGAGATGCAGCATTAGAAAAGTAAGACAGAAAAGCATCATTAAAAAGTTTTACTTTCGCCCAGTGCCAGTCAGTGCGTTTGAAAGCGAAATGGAAATTGTTGGGGAGCCAACGGAAAAGCCATAATACTCGCAAATGTGTATATTGAGATATATCTCTTGGCGCTCGCGTGTGATAACAAGAGCGCAAAAGCTGCGAAATATAAAATATTAACTATATGTAAATACACAGTAGCGGAGATGAGAATGAGATATAGTTTTTATGAAATAAAATAACAGAAGTTGTTAGTTATTTAAAATTATACAAAATAAGTAAATTATATTACTTAAAGAAGAATCATAAATTAAATGTTTTGAGTACATATATTATGCACTTAGGAAAATCCTTTTCTTAAAGCAATTTTTTGACTATACTGTCATAGCCTCTGTCGTATAATTAGGTGCTATAAGAGAAAGCTCTCGGACATACTAATAACCCGGTGCAGGCCCAAGCTGCAAATCACTTTGTCGCACTCATCATCGCTCGGCCCGATCTGGCCAAGACGGCAAAAATAAGGGAAAATAATGCCGACGACGTTTATGAGGGAAAAGCGTGAAGGCGGAAAAACCGAATGGCTTTCGTCGGGTCGTCGTGTCGGGGCTGCCTCAGATCTGATCTGCGAAAATTTGCTAATAGTTTCAAAAATTTGCCTGGCCAGTTCGGGAACAACATTCAAACTTTGCGTAAGCACTCGTTCCGCCTAGCCTCTGGCCCCTGCGTCCAGGAAGTGGTGTCCATAGCGAGATTGAATCGTCTTTTTTGGAGAATGAGAAGCATTCAATATTATTTATGCGGACATTAATTGCATAGAGGTCTTGCGTGATTTGTGATTTGTGTGTGCAAAGAAAAGTGAAAATAATAAAGAATTATTAGACGGACCGAGAAGACCGAATTGCGCGAGCTAAAAATAAAAAATATCGGGACCGCTATTTATGTAATAAACTTTTTTGTTTTCCCGCAACAATATTCAAATGTATACACACACTATAGCCAAGAATTAATGTTTTGCGTGCCCAGTGATGTGAACTGAAGCGTGTAACCACATAACGCATCTATGTATCTTTCAGATAATGCTTTAAACGTACAGAATCGAAACAGCCAGCATGAGCCAAAGTCAAAGTTAACCAATAGCTGGAACTACCGCACATAGCCCACATACAGCTTGCAGAGATTTGCCACCAACGAACCAAACAGATCAGGAATACCAAAGCAGAGTTGCCTTAGGAACTTAGCTTTAACAGCCACCACAGCCACGCGAACCGGAAGCCCACAACCGATCCCGATCGAGTCCCAATCGCAATGTCCGCGACAGCCACGTCGAAGAAGCGCCCGTCGCACGCCTCCGCCGGCGAGGAGGGACAGATGACCCCCAAAAAGACGGCCCTGATCATCGTGACCGTCATCGGATGCATCGCCATTCTATGGCCAAAAGTGTTTCACCCCATGATGTTCGGCGGTGTTCCGCCAGCACCAACCAAGCAGAATTTTAAGGATCAGCGTGGACCGGGAGGTGAGTCTTCTGATTTCTGGCCAGGGATGTCTTGGTTAATAAAATCTTGTTCAGAAGTATGCCCCTCAGCAGTATCATCTTCAGTCGAGTCGATTTAGCAACATCTGTGTGTCCGTTTTTATGCAAACTTGTCTCTCAGTTTTCTCGGACTTAAATACAATATAATTAATAACTTAATTTGTATTCAATCTTATCTAATAACACAATTTTTCAAATTACATCTTTGTTAAATAGGGAGTATGCTAATCCCAATCTGTTCTCTGCGTTGCAAACTTCTGTCAGGAAACTTAAATGGAATAATCAGTTGGCCGCTCTTTTTTATTACTCTTACTTATATTTACTGTATAATTTATATTTAAAACAATAATTTTTATTTATTAATCATTATTATTATACTTTTTTGTTTATTCCCACATCACATCTGTGGGTGTGCTTTTGTGTTGGCTGTCGGTGTTGTGTAGGCTGTTGTGACGTCGTTCTTGACAGGGAGGAGTTCGTAAATATCTCGAAGAAGGACAGTATTGAGCCCTTTGGCCCGCATTTGTATCGAAAACAGATCAACGTCTATACGGGGGAAATTAGTAGGTGCCCCTCTCAATCCGGTTTTATCCACTAACCACAGTGTTTGCTTTTTTAAAACCACATTAAGTGGGTGCAAAGGCCAAACCCCATGAGCAGGTGCTTGCATCCTGTATCTATAAATTCAAAGCACTCGTTATTTCAAATAAACGGTTTTTTATATATACGGAATTTTAAGTTTAAGTATTTTAAAACGCTTTTATTAATCAGATCTTCTTATTATAAACAAACGGTTGGCAAACAAAATAATTTACGTTGAAAGTATTCAATAATAATACAATTGTCCCAATATAAACACTAATTTATAGTGAATATTTGTGTATATAAAGTTACTAAAACACATTTAATATTAATTTTTTATTTGTTAACATTATTTATATGCTTTTCTCCTTTGTTTACTGTACTTGCCTTCTGCTAACCGATTTTTTGAGTTGTATCTGACAGTGTTCCAGAGAAATTCACGGCTAATTAATCAAAATGAAATATTTCTCAGGCCTGCGCCAGGAACGTCCAGCCCACCTGCATCCGGAATCCATATATCAGGCCATGCGTGAACGTGGACGCGCCATTCCTGCCACGCCCACGGTACCGATCCTGGAGCGGAAGAGCTCGCCGAGCAATCCGCCTCCGCGCATCGTCGACGGACGGGTGAGTTGCGATTTGCATTATTCTTTGGAGATCCAAGATCTGTATGGGAAACCGCATTTCGGACTGGTGTATATTTTTCGTCGCAGCGATTATGCTGATGGTGGGGATGAGACATACAACGGTCGCGTTGGAACTCATTTATAAATAGCCAACGTTTATTTTATTTGGATTTGGGTTTTGTTTTTATGACACTGCACGCAAATTGAAGGCAGAACTCGGCAAACAGAAGACAGGGCAAAAGAAAACACAGAAAGAAACTGTAAAGGATGAGTGGGAGCTTGGCAGAATGTACATATTGAACTTGTGCCAAATTTGATGCGCCAGTTCCATTTCGGTTTGCTCTCATCGCCAGAATCGAAGAGAACAAATCAGCTGTATGTTGGCCATGTCAAAAGAAAACATGGGGCGGATACGTGATTTTTATGATCACAGAGCAACTGTGGCTTCCCCAAAATATGTAATCTATTGAATACTAAATTTTGTTTGGGATCTTAGTACATATTTGTTGAGGATATCCCAGAAAAAGCGTTGCTTTTTAAGTTTTTTAATGAGTTAAGATAAAAACACAGGGCGTATACTTGATATTTTGATTACGGAGTATGTAATCTGTTGAATATGCAACTTTTTGTTTCTAATTATTTATTTTTAACAACAAATTTTTGTCAAGTTAATCATTTAATGTTTATTTTATTCTTCTTAGCCTGGACCCATTCCTGGAATGCGCCCGCCCATGGGAGCCGGAGCACTGCATCAACCACAACAACGGGGCAGTAGCATGGGCTTCCTGATGCCATTATATACTATAGGAATCGTTGTATTCTTCGGCTACACGATAATGAAGGTGAATTTTAAAGACTCTTTCCGAGCATATTAATTTCTATCCTTTTCTCCACAAAGATTATGTTCAAGAAGCAAATACCGAATGCTCCTTATGGACCGGCTCCCTCGGATCCCGCCTTCCGGCAAGAGGTCTTCGGGCAGCAGAACCACAGTCAGGTGGAGGACTTGGGTGGCAGCAAATTGGGTGAGTGCCGTTCATAGCAGGATTACTCTTGTAGCTCGACACAACAACAACCAAAACTCATTGCCACCGCTCAATTCAGAAGTCAAATCTAACCGAAAAAAAATTCATTTTGTACTTTTCTGCTTCCGCCTGCGCACACCCGCACACCTGCACAACACACGAACACCCACCTGCAATCAGGCTGGCGCGAGCATCAGACAAGTAAGCCCAATAGATGGTTCCGATGACCGTAGAGTTCCGCATCCGTTCACATCTTTAGTTTCTAGACCTCGGCGGAGGCCGCCTCTTGATTTTTGAAATATGTCCTCCTCATTTGGTTTAGTACCTTAGCCACTATGTGTTTTTCTATTCATTTACGTAGTAGATGTACTCACTCTAGATGTTGTGCCATATATATATGTATACGTATATTTACTAACCCCGAATCCGAATCCAAATCAATCATGTCCCATTGAATATGTTTGTTACTCTCGTGCCACTTCCCCACGTGTGTGTAAATACCCTTAGTCTCTCTAGTTAGTTTCGGCCAAGAAATCTCTATCTCAAAGCCAAATCGTACGCCAATTTTATAGGAGGAGGAGGAGCCAGTGTCGCCGCCGTGAAGTCGCCGGCTGCCAAGGATACCGGCAAGGAGCTCTACAATGCCAGCCTGTCGGCCACCGAGGTGGCCAGCAGTTTGTCCAGCTCGCTGAAGCAGCACCAGCAGCAGAAGGAGGCCGAGCAGCTGATGGAGATCGAGAAGCTGCGCCAGAAGCTCGAGAGCACGGAGCGGGCGATGGCCAAGCTGGTGGCCGAAATGAACACCGACCAGTACGAGGCGAAGGTTAGCATCGCCACCGGACATACAGATAAAGATACATATACAAATATCGATACAGATACAGATATAGATACACCTCCACCATTCAGATACATTCATGCCGAACATCACCGTAGTGACGTTTAGTTGGCCAACGAGCGCCGATCGCTATCATTTATTAATCTTTATTCCTGTTCTTTGTGTTTTCATTTTCAAGATGATTGCCATGAAGTTTCTCAAGCGGCAGCCAAACTTCTAAAAGCCAAAAATTAACCGCCATTCAGTTCACATTATATATGTAGAATCCAATCAGTAAACAGACCAAAATCAGACCAACAGCTCAGACCACAACTAAGTACAAGCCAACAAATAGATTACTTTCATGTTTTGGTTCCTAGTGAATAGCTGAAATCCCCGGAATGGTTTTCCCCCATTGCCCGATCCCCGATATCCCCACTATCATTGCCCTTTACTTTCTAACCAGTGCATGGAACGGACTCTCTCATGTCTCTGTCTCTGTCTCTGTCCTGTCTCCGTCTCTGTCTCTGTTCTAACCTTGCTTGTCTGCTGTCGGCATGCGATGTAGTACGATATCTTCCATCTGCTTACTAACAAAACCCACTATCTGAATGTGTTTGCATCCCACCGAGTGCTCTCGACTAAACTATTTTGATGGGGACATATTTTATATGGTTCAAGCAAGCCTTTCTCGAACTCTATTCGAACTTCGAACACTTTCTCTAGACCGAAAAACACCACATTGCCAATTAAGTAATCGCAAACCTCATTCCATTGTCTAAGCTAAAGAAACCACAACTTATATCAATTCTCACTCTCTGTCGTTCTACGTTTTCCATGTTTCTCACATTCATGTGTAAAACTCAATTTGTTAATGGGAAACCCGACTTGGTATCGGGGCCTTCCTTAGTTGTAACGGCCATACAAGGTTTGATAGACGCTGCCGATGAGCAATTGAACGGCCAAGACAAGCAGAGGGCGACGAGCGACACTGAATCCGATTCGAACAAGGTTAGAAGCCGCCAAATGGGTCCGGCACGGCAATCCTTGAACACTACTCCTGCGGATGCCCACGTGAATCCGTCAACTTAATCTTTTTGTTTGTTTTAACCAAGATCCTTCGACTAATGAGTTTTGTTGCGTTTCATCTAACCACAACGAATTGAAGTAATTAATAATGCGTTTATTATTTTACGTTTTGTTTTTATTGAGGCTGTAGAAGAACTGCTTAGACCTGAACATCTCCTGCCTTTAAATAGATTTTCTAACATCTCCTTCTCTTTCTGTGTGTGGTGTGTGCTCCCCACAGCAAAACGACAACGAAAAACTAGAGGCGCAGAACCTTTCCAACGGACATGCAAACACCGACCAGGATGCGGAGCAGGAGACAGCAACGAAGGGGGCCAGGACGCAGCGGAAGCGTCGGGACCAGAGCGCAGAGCGCGAACTAACGGTAGGCATATGGCAAAAAATATAAAGATTGTCGCACTCGTAGATCTGTTGATGTATATAATCGCCTATGTATTGGTTCAGGTACTGGGCATGGAGTTAACAGCCAGTTGCGAGGGCGGCCACAAGTGGACTGGACGCCCTCCAACGCCTGTTTTCCGAGCACCAAACGAACATGTAAGTGCCACTGCCGCACACCCAAGCCCAACTAGCAAGCTGTAACCTGCATACATATACATATGTGTCTTAGTGTTTAAGTTAAAGCGATATGATATGACTGATCGCAATACCATTCGATTATACAGATGGGAAATGGAAACTAAATACATCCTAAGCTTTTAGTTAAAGTTAGTTATAGTTAAATATATATCTTAATCAGTATAGTTATACGATTGTATAAAACACAATTTACTGGAGTAATATATTTAACATATCACTCATACGCAGTGTATCCAGTTTTAGTCTCCTTGAGAAATTTAATATTAATAATTACAATGAGAACATTCCATCCTTAAAATGAAGAAACATTTCTTTAAAATCAAAAATAACACTTATATTTAAGACTACTAAAACTAACAACATTTTACATACTATTTTCCTATATGAGCTTATGAGTCCTGTCCGCTTTTCAGTCCAAATTGGAAGACGCAAATCTGCCAGAGCCGCAGTCCATTTACTTGGAAGGCGCCTTGGCCCACGAGTCTCAGATTTTGGTAGCCGACTCCCAGATCAAGCGCGAAGAGGTCTACGACGCCGAGCTTAATGGATCGGCCGAGGAACCAGCCGTAAGAATAATCTCAAAGCACACCCACATGTATAAATTACTTATCGAATCTCTCATTTGCAGGTCATTCTTAGCAGCAGAATGACTTTGTCATTGATTAATTTGGACGCAAATCAACAGAATGGCAAGCCGGCGGTGGAGAGTCCCCTGGCCGATGACATCGAGATAATTGGACATGACGAGCAGTAGACAAAAGTAGTATGCATATGCGAATATGTGTACAGATCGAACTTCTTAGATTTTGGCAATAACAATGACTTGATTCTAATGATACTGTTGCAAGAGCCGAGTGAAATATTTAGAAAATTTCGTTGAACGACGAACATAACGACTGATTAATACGAAACAGATTTGCCAATAATTTGATATCTAATTTGTATATACATATTGTATGTTTTGATATATTTGTTTTGTTTTTGAAAACGCCAAAGTTTTTGTCTCCCTTCGAACACAAACACTCTGTCTTTCTGCTCTGTTTAAGAACTCTACTCTTCCCATTTTGGTCAAACGTAATCGCCAATTGCATGACAAAAAGGTGGCTAAGGTCCTTTCGCGATTATTTGTGATTACTTTTAGTTGCAACTGAGTGAATAAAACTAGTCTACCATTAAGTTAAGCGCATGTGAACCCGCATTGCCTATTCTTGTGCACCTTACTCTACGCATTGAATCCTCTAGTTACTGGGCAAGGAAAATATCCTAAGCAGAACCGATCGATCGCACCTTATTATTATTGAAGAACTAAAGTTAGTGCCACTGCGTTTGTGAACCTAGTATAATGAATAAATTGAAAACCGGACTTGAAACCTAATTTTGCTTAGTTTTTCTTAGTCATAAAATGTATTCTACTTGGAAATTGGGCTTTATATGGCAAATGTATTGTTAAAATACATTTTATTCAGATATAACTTTAATAAATTAAATTATTTTTATTATACATTAAAATTTAAAATTGAAATGGAATTTAAAGAAGCCCGCCTCCCTTAAGTCATTTATCGATATACGATATCAACATATCAGTGGGAGCTCCAATCAGAATATATTTTCCTAATGTGTACACACTGACACAGAAAGCATATAAAATGTATGAAATTTGGATAGTTTTGCATAGTTTCTTTATCACTTTTTTTCTTTTCTTCTTTTTATTTTTATTCTTGTTTCGTAACTGATTTTAATGAATATATAAACAAATAGCAGAATGTACATTTGCACATAAATTGGTGTTTTATCGAAGTTGAGAAACGGTTACACTACACATTGTTAAACAGCTGTTTTTTGTCGATCTTGGAAATAATTACGTAAATTTCGGCAGGTTAGCAAATTTACGTTAAATATACAACAATTGTGAAGCCCAAGCCAGGAAATGAACTCCTCTGGGACCTCAACAAAGCTCAGGAGCGACTGCAGCTGCTTCGGGAGCTGCAAGAGCACCGGTTGCCTTGTGTTGGACCGAATTGTTTGTGACTTGTAGGCTAATGTTTTTGCATTTTTACCAGCAGCCAACCATGTCGTTCTTACGCTCCAAGTACTACGACCATCCCGACGGTGAAGATGCGTTCGGCAAGATCGTGGCTACCAACAAATACGCTGTTTCAGCCGGCCTGGCCTGGTCCATGTTCGACGTGCTGACGCTCTCGAAGCCGCGGGGCTATGTGCCTACGCTGGGCCGCTTTGCCTACAACACGGGTCCGCTGATGGGCATGGCCACCGCATTCACGCTCACCACCCTGGCAGCCACAAACGCCCGCGGCAAGGACGATAAGTGAGTGTGAAAATGTCCCTAGCAAGTTCTTTAAAGGCTAAAAACCAATTTCACTATTGCAGAATCAATTACTTCCTGGGCGGATTTGCAGCTGGTGGCGTCTTCGGTGCCTGGAAACACAACCACGTTGCTGGTCTCTGTGCAGGTCTTTTCTTGGGTTAGTATTTACCGCTGTGACTGTGTTTAGCTTTTGAGATTAATGGAAATCCCGCTTAATCCAGGCATTGCTGGCGTCATCAAGAAGATGTCCGTGGAACAGGGCTGGGAGTTCTTCCCCGACACACCCCTGAAGCAGTACGGCGGCCTGAACATTGCCGAAAACGACTGGACCGTCATGGCCGACCGTTCCAGGAACTGGACCACTGAGAAGCCAGAGGATCAGAAGGCGTAAAGTCTAGTTTCCTACGTTTAGTTTAATGGTGATTCGATTAGAGAAGGATTTGGCAGTGTCAGTTCGCCTTGCAACCGAATAAAGCAAAGTGAGAAGTGATAATGTACGCCGAACCGGACTCCAATCCACAGCTGTCCATTTTTCCCCAGTCTAATGGTGCCACAAGCAGTTGGCCCGGCTTCGTTAGCGGCTAAGATATGCAAACGAGCCGAGCTGTGTCACAGAAACTTATCAACAGTTGGCGTGAATGAATGACGGCCCGCAATCGGGAACCCAGAGACGCCAGCGAAAAAAACAACAAAAATTGACTGAAGCATGGGGGAAACGAGTCACGCTCGGAGCCAGCGTCTTATACGCTGGCTACAGTTTATTTCTTTATTTCCATCGGCCCATTTAACAGCCATGAATGTGCATAAACTCATGTTTGGCTCTTTTCACTTTACCTGACGAGAGGTGGAGAAGTGAGTCATGCCCCGAGCATACATAAGCACAAGCATAAAGTGCCATCTTATGCATACTAATGCTGCTTCTTACGTACTTAATGCTGAAGATTGGGAACCAAGAATCTATCGATATGCTGCTGCATCTGGCTTAGGCACAGAAAATCCCTCTCAGCCGCCCTGCAACCACAACCGGAGACTGCCAATTTCTACCTTAACCTTCTCAACCTCGGAATCTTCTCTTGGTTTCTTTGTTGCGGTTTGGCGGTTCATTTTTGCTGCTTCTCTTTGGGATTCCAGTTTGCCAGATTTATTGTTATGGCGGAAGAAAGTTTTGCGAGCGAGTGGAGTGACCCTTAAGCGGGAAACCGTTAAGTCTTGGCTTTATATTGACGACTCTTCGCTTTATGTAAGCGATTCTCAGGCGTGGTTCCCTGATGTAATACTTCTATTGGCGATCTGATTCCGATAGACCGAGGAGTTGGAAAAGTTGTGGCACCCATTAGGCATTATTTTCGCCACTTACCTTGATCTTTCGAAGCCATGTACATGAGGCTCGCATCATCACCCGCTCTGCTCTGGGCTCCAGCGGTCTGAAAACCAGTCGAGCAGCTTGCTCTCAATTGCGAGTAAATTGAAGTGCGCCAGGCCGAATCTGTATCCGAATCGTACTATGACTCTGACTAATCTGTGGCAGCTGCCTCGACTCCACTCCACTCCACTCGGCTGCAGGCTGGCGAATCTGTTGGATGCGGCTGCTGTCACGGCTCTCAGCATGCTGGAGCATAAACGGGGGGATTTTCGCGATCGCTGCGTGATTTATGGGAGATGAATGCTGCGGGGATGACATCATCATTGCCGGCAATTCGCCTTGGGGGCATACGATAGAGATCGGTGAGTGTGAGTGCCTTTTCCCTGGGGACGCCTAGAGTTAATTAAAAATAAAATAATTGTTTTTACTTTCATTTCCTGGACTCGTCCAGGGACAAGGAAAGCAAAAAGTTTTCCCCGAGGCCCAACGAATTGGTGGAACAGTATCCTTTATTCAATTCCAATTATCTTCGCCAGAAGCACCATCCCCTTTGGCGGGCTCGCGTGCCAGCAGGATCTTAGAATTAAGAATATGCTAATTTCTGGCTGGGATTACTACGAGTGTTACTCCAACCCCCCGGCGTTGGGACGTAGGAAAGGGGCGAAAAGTACCCGGAAAGCTCTTAAATTAATGAAACACTTGAAGCACCAAATGAGACTGTTATTTGTTATGTCAAAATATTGAATCCAGAAGTTGTCCATGGTCTGAAGAACTTTCTTAATTACAGCAGCGGACAAAATAACAGCAGTTTAGGCCTATAGAAACTTTTAAAAATAAATTAGGGACATATATAGGAACATATTACATTTATACATCTGTGAATTGCTATCAATATTTTGGTTTTACCCCTATAATGTTGGCTACAACTGTAGAATATATACAAAATATAAATGCGAAGTGGTCACGCAGCTCTGGTGAAGTTGCAGCCGTGGCAAGACGCTCGTAATTAATCTTGTTGCTGAGTTGGAGATGCGTTTTTATGGAACTGTGCGCCGCCTTCCAACGCACAACGCAGTCGTGTAATCCTTTTAATAAAGCCCGCGACACCACTGTCAAATTAATCACCACGACAGTGCCGCAGTTAAGTACTGCATCTTGTATCTTTTGCCACTGCGAATGCATCTCAGCATCATCATAAGCATCTGCAACTGCATCTGCGGGCTGGCATCGAAGGTTATTCCGCTCCTAAGCCTCTCACAATTCCGCAATTAAAGATCGGCGAGACACAAAAGAAGCAGGCATACATAAATGCCATTTAGGTGCTTGTGGATATTTGTATCTTTGTATCTATAGATACAAAAGTGTTTATTAATATATAGAGTTGCTGCTGCTTTGTTGCAGCCATTCAATTGGTGTCAAACTCCAATGGCTTGAAGCACACTGTGGAAAGATAATGAAATTCAGTATTTAGAATATAAAATGACAGTATTTATAACATTTAATAAATATCAAATATTTTTTGTATGTTTAATTAAAACATAAAGCATCTTTATGGTTTAAATTTAATATATTTAATGGAAATGCGAACCCCTTGATATTTATAAGATTGAAATTAATATGAATATATAAATATAATAAATCATTTAATTACTTTGTGTATTGTAAATATATGCTAGCCGAAACCACAGTATGCCATAAACGCAGACGACCCGCTCATGATACGAAATCAGGGACACAATTCATCATTGGACACAAAGCGAAGATCTCTGGCTCCGGTGCTGCAGCTCTTCGCATCTGTATTTGGTTGCAAATGACACTTGGGAACCCGCACAGCTCCTCCTCCTCCTCCTCATCCTCATGTCTCCGTCGAACAGACAACCGCCTCATAAGGCTGGGCTGACGGCGGAGATGCAAATGCAGCAGCCAGCGATGGGTATACATATATGCATATGGGTATGGGTATCGGATTCACTTAACCCGATCCGCATCGGGGTCATAAGTGCAGAGTAAATAAAACATTTTACGGCCGCGGCGAACGTGCCGCCAAGAAGACCGAGCGCTGCAGATGAAGCTGCGCAGCTGAGAGCTCGGAATGGAGAAGAAAACAAATGAAGTGATTGAATACGTTGCGCAGACGCAGCCGGGTGGGAGTTATTGGGAGTCGTGGTAGATGTGGAGACTCTGGAAGCGATGGAGGGAGTAGCCATAGCCTCCAAATGACAACAGCACGCGCTGGAGACTGCTTCCCCACTCGCGAAAGATTGATTGGATTTTTGTTTCCTCTCCGAGTTCATCAATTCCGACAATCTAAATGGAAATACTCAAGAAAAATACATATTTTTTTGGTGCTGGTTGTACGTCAATTTAACACTCGGCGAAGCGCATATTCGTGTAATCGGAGATTGGAGGGGAAGAGCAGACAATCAATCAATGGGATATACCCTGGGAATCGGCTCTTCCTCCTGAGATCTGTTGCCATGTTTGAAACGATTATATATTCAGAGTTATGCTTATCATATTTGATTAAATTCTGTATGCTTTCCTATTATGATTGACAGCAGATAAGGGTTTGCTATTGGAAATCAAACCAAAGTAGTTAATTTTTTAGTTAATCATTTCGAAATACCAGTTTATTGAATAAACTGAAACTTTTTTCAAAGCGGTACAATAACTTTGTTGATTGCCA